CTGGTACCCGGAAAAACTGCAGTGATAACGGAAGAGAAAAGACCCGGTAGGATTGGTAGATCCATCTATTTTATGATATGTTAAATGTTTTTTTACAACAAGAAATAAGGAGTGAGAATACTTGTTAAATAAATATAATTAATTAAATAAGGAACAAGATTATCTATAGTAAACATAAAAAAAAATTAAATAATAAAATTTGAATCATTTTAATAGTGACTAGTCAGGATAAATAAGCATTATTGTAATATCAATCAAATATCACCAGAATATTTTACCATAAATGCTTACTCATTTAAATCCCCAAGGTCAAACCTCCAGCTATAAATAATTCAAACTTTATCTTCTATGGCCATAGAACAATATTTATGAAGATAAATACACGAGGAAATAAGTCCAAAATATCACAACTATATTATTATCGATTATAAAATATATTTATAATAAATATATTTACGTAAAGAGAATATATTAAGAGTACCAATAATATAAATAAAAATGACAATGATTATAAAATAATTAAACAATATAAAATATGAACACCTTAATAGTTAATATGGATAAAAATAATCATAAATTAAGAAAATAAATGAGGTTAGGGGCACCTCACTAAATAAAAATAACAAATAAATAAGCAAATAAATGAGGTTAGGGGCACCTCACTAGATAAAAATAACATAAATAAATAAACATATTAAAGAGATAAAGTTCTCCTCCCCCTTACCTTGAAATGCACTCTTATCATAATTTGATAAACATGTGCTCTTTACATTTAGGAAGTGACTTTTTATCTTTTCCTAATTTTAATTGATTTATAAAAATATATAAGGCCATGGTAGGATTTGAACCCAAGACTCAGTACATGTAGTTCTTAAGCTCAACTAGTTAAACCACTGAACCATTTTATTTTATAAGTCTATAACATCATGTAAATTTATAATAAGTTATTTTTCGTAGGTAATATTCATAATATAATTAGTTAGCACACATGTATATGTATATATATATATATATATTTATTTTACTGAACAAAAATTTTATAAAATAAAACACTAAAATTTAAAAATTTGATTTAAAATAAAATTATAAATATTAGGTGATTCTATTTTATTAATTAAATCATAATAATTATATAATTAGAAATAAATATTTTATAATTTTATTTCACTAAAAAATGTTATAATAAAATTTTATACATATATATATAGTGAAAATATTATATTTATTCTCTTTTATATATATATATTATCATAACTAAAAATTTCAATAT